CATGCAGAGTGCTAATAAAGCAGGGAAAGGATGTGGCCACAAGCCTTGAGCAGCAGCTGCAGGAGAGGGAACAAAGTAAGAGGTAGCTGTGTCCTTCTCCCAGCCAGTGAGAGCAGAGGGCTGGCACATCCTGTCCCCCCCTCTACACACGCTCACTCACGAGGTTTGTGTGTGTCCAGATTATATATAGCAAACGAGAACAGACCTCACAGCAGCGTATCGATTAGGCTGTTTAGGAAAGGCCTTTTCCAATATGGAAACTGCAAGCCTTACAGGCAGCAGTGACAGCTGGAGCAGGAGTTATTGATCATGTGCTGTCACTGTCAGCAGGGACTACATGGGAGGAGACTCCAGCCATTAAAGAGCCCAAACCCAGAAGTTTTTGGCTTACACTGGAACCCCAATGGAGCAGACCACAGGAGGCTTGGCAGAAGCAGGTACCATAGCACTACGGAAAAGACAAAGACCACCCCCAAGTCACAGGTGGCATCAAATTAGGGAGCAACACTATTGACATTGGTACCTAAGGCCAGATTTTGCAACATGCAGCAGTACTACTAGCAGATAGACCAGATTAGTCCCTTTATCCATGCCATGCTGGGCAGGATTCTTCCTGCTGCAGGAGCAGTAGCAGTACAAGAGCAAAAAATGGGGTAGAAAGAAAGCAGCTATCTTGTACATATGGCAGAATCTCTTTCCTTTCCACCACTTTGGGACTGCAGTGGAAAGCAGGAAGGCTGCCCTTCAAGCAGCCAGGATTTCAACCACCACATTGTACACAAGACAAGAAGTCTCAGAGGTGCCTAGTAGTCCCTACAGAGCCCGATACCAGACTTACCCCGATGACAGTGTATGCATTGTTCATAGTTTGCCTAAATTTAGGGTAAGCACTCACTTCTCATTCCCCTTTCCCTTGCTGGATCCTAACAGTGATCAACCCTAGCAGCTCTGCAATCCACAGCACCTGACCTACAGCACTTCAAAACTCACCCCAACTCAGATCACCTCCTCCCCTCTTCTACAGGCAGGGCCATTTGACTCCCATTCACATACCTTCAAGGCAGCAAATGGATACCACGGGGCCAGTGACCTAGCAGACTTCACTTGCCTTTCTGTTTTGCCCAGTGGAGTTTTATATGTTAAGTGTCTAAATGGAGCACCAAGAATTCTCTCCAATTCTTATCCACTCTTGCCTAGCTGCATTTTCTTGACACTTAAACAGAGTCCCCTGGGAGGACTGGCAAGTGTGAGGTGTCTGCACCAAGCACAGAGTGGCTCCAGGCCACAACAGGCTTTACACTTCACAGGAACATTTGCAAGCTGTCCTCCATTCTGCTAAAAACACAAGCTCAAAGTTTCTCACATCTTTCCAGAGACATGAACAACTTTCTAGGACTAACCTGTAAATCTCCACTATCAGAATGCTGGAAACTCCCCCCTGCTGGAGTCATTCCCTCAAGGTCCCTTCTAAAAAGACTCAAGTAGGTGAAGAGATCTCCAATACTTTAGAAAAATCACATCCAGCATACCAAATGCACATTCCACTGCAGCCCCAAGCAAAACAGATGGGTCTGACTTGCTAGGAAGACATTTCTTCAAAGAGGAATGCTGAAATCCTGACCAGAAGCAGGTTTGTCAACACCCCACCATCAAACAGATTATCTAGGGGACTCTTCTGTCAATTCCTGTCAGGCTAAGGACAGGAGATGTGCATGAAGATATCCCAATCATTTCTCTAGCCCACAAGGACATGAGCACTTACCAGTCTGGACTCAAATTTGAAGCCTCATGAAGCTGGGACACTCACTCAGATGCCCTGAAGAAGAGAAACAAATAGCTTAGCATCCATCAAAACAGTTAGTTTGAAATCTCACTCCATAAATATGTGAAGAATAGGGAATGCTTATAACCAAGGTCATCTCACTCCAGGTACCTGCCCCAACCCACATCAGACCTTCTGAAAGTAAATTAAATTAGCTTAGCATAGTTGGGTCACATAGCCCAGCAGGAGCTGGAAAGGCACCGGGCAAGGACATGTCCAAGACACTCAGGCAACTGGGACCACACAAACTCAAAATTCACAAAGAAATAGCTTCAAGGGAACCTTGTTTCCAGGACAGGAAGGACTAAACAAACCCCCTGTGAAATGGGACGCTCCCAGCTAATCTTCCCCACTACTGCAGAGGGATGCTGACTGCAAAGCCTTCAGTACAGAAGCTTGGTAATCCTAACAATTACCTCACTTTTAAGTCAGTGCTTCTCACCTACAAATGAGCTGGCAATCATCAGACTCACGTTTGAGCCAAAGATTATGTCCTCTTGCCTACAGCTGTGATAACCCACATGTCCACCCCACAAGAGAGGAAGGCAAGCCATTCTCTATGACTTCCAGCAAGCAGCATGCCATGCTCTACCTAGCTGCTGACAGGCTTCCATAAAATAGCATCCAGCCAGCCAACCAGGGATACAACACAAGTTTAGGAGCAACCTAACCATCACTACAAGAAGAGAACTGGGTTTATCTGGGAGCCAGCTCTAAGAGTGTAGCTCTGTGGCCATCACTCTGCCACTGGCACAAGCGAGACTGCAGTGGACTCTTCCCTTACCTGGTGCACTTCTGCTGCTTTTTCCCTGTCAATGGTACCAAGCCCTGGCAGGTGGGACAGGAGCACAGGGTGTGGAGCAGTTGTACACACACAAGGAGAGTCAGAACGAAGATGAATGGAACAGACAGGCAACCAGGATCACGCAAACTCAGGCTTTGCCAAAACAAACTGAAGAGGTGCCCTAGTACTGGCCCTGCCCCAACAAGCTGTCTGGCCCCTTTCCTTACTACAATGCTATAGTCGGGTCTCAACTAGCACAGGAAAAAACAGCTTCACAACAGCATAACTGCTCTGCAGGGCAAACTGTAAAGTATGGGGGGAGAAAGAGAGAAAGAGGGAAAATGTGCATCTCCAGGAAGGATCGATCAGGCCAGCGTAGTCTGAATCTGCTTTTCCACCATCTCCCAGCAGGAGCTGGTTCAGCATCAAGGCAAAGCCACCAGCCACATGGCTGGCAGACAAGCAGAGGCTTCCAGAAAAAGCTGCACCCATGGATCCGCATGTTTCCACTGCAGAGGTGCTCAGTACGATCACACCAAAGGCCTCCTTATCTCTCAGCACACAGTTCCTCAGGCTCAAACAGGACTGTCCTGCTTCCTACCCCACAGCCAGTAACTAAGCTACCTGCCATGTCATCTCCACCTACCTGGAAAAGATACCAGGATTTGAAACCTACCCTCACGAACTGAGAATTTCCAGAGACAAATACTCACAGTGCCTCCAGGCAACTTTCCCCCAAACAAGGACTTACAGATTCAAATGAACGACGTGTCCAAACATTTCTGGCCGCTTGTCTCCGAATCAGCTTTCCCCTGTCAGCATCCAGCAGCATCTGGCCAACAGCTCCTGAAACTTGAGAAAGGAAATTTGGTGTCAGTCACCTATCAGCACAATGCAAGGGAACAGCCAGGCATGCGTAGAGCAATCCACAGCCAGGTGCCAGGGCAGGAGTCGGCAGCAAACTGCTGCACCATCAGGCTACTACCTAATGCCAGGACCCTCCTGTGAAATAAGTTCCTTGTCTTCACTGTGTCCCTGAAAAGAATGGTCTTTCAACCACCTCTCCACTGAGCAGGATGCCTGTGCAGACCAGTAACTGACCTCTGAAAGGCAGCTGTTTTTTCTAGATGGCTCCAGAGGTCACTGCTTCCCCACCTGCATTCCTGTCCAACACCAGGAATCCAGCCTCTGTCATTCTGCTTCAATCACCTTGTCACACCAACCTAATTTTGTTCTGCAGACTTCCCTGCACTGAACAGTTCAGTTAAGCCCTCCTTATCTACCATACCTTAGAATCCTTTACTACCACAGAGAGAGAATCCCAAGGTGGCTGAATTCACCACACCTCCATTCAGAGAGGAGCAGATACTCTCTGCAGAACAGAGGGACCTTGTGCTCCAAAGCAGAAACGGATACAGGTAACATCCAGAAACAGAAGGCTGCACCAGTACTGCTCACCATGCTATTCACAAGCCTCTCACTGAAGGAGCTTGCTGTCAAGTCCACATTCTGACTACCCTGAAGAAGCTCAGCTTTAGTCTAGAGCTACAGCAGGAGATAGCTCTTCTGGTATTCTAATTAGCACTGTAATACAAGAGGAAACGTAACCTCCTGGTTCTTTTTATCTGCCCTTTGCATCTCTCATCAGTAACGTTCCTTAACATTCACAGTTCTCTTCCTAGCAGGCTATCATTTGCAGTAGCTCTATTCTACTGTGTCTTCTAGCTACTACCCACTGTAGTTCCAGTCTCATTTCTAAGCTCACAGACAGTTACAGCTTCACTGGAATGGCTCATTGAGGGCTACAAGGCTTGGGCTCACACTGATTGGCAATACTCACATCTCCTAGGCAGACACGAACACACAAAGGGTCAGAAGACTGCACTGGAAACCTAACAATTTGCTTTGTTAATGCAAAAAACTGAAGATTCCCCCACCCCCTTACAAAGACAAACCACACACAACCTCTTTCCTCTTCACAGTGAGGGAGTGCAGTGACAGTGACCGAGTGCAGCTGCACAGGCAGTATTCAAGCTTGACTACAGCTGCTTTTATCAGAGAGTGTATCCCTCAGTGTAAAATCCACCTGCAGAGGAGCTATGTTCTCTGCGTGATCTAAGGAAGGCAAAACCTTTACCACACACCAGGAACAGATGTGATCTAGCACAGAATTGCTTCAGACTATTCTGTACAGGGGGCCATAGAACTAACAGCCACTTGGCATGCGTGAAAAACCACAACACTACCTGTTAGCATCACTTTGTCTCCAGTA